TTTTATTATTATTTTAATGTAAAGTATCATACACCGATAATGGTGCTCTTATGATGGTTTCAATGTCCTTAGGCTCCCTTACCTTCGAGGCAGTGATGATACCAACCGAGAATTCGCAATGTATTTCTATTTACCGGACAAGAAAGATGGATTGTATAATCTTGTGGAGAAAATGGCATCTACTTCTGAATGTTTGGATAGTCACATTCCTAGTTACAAAGTTGATTTTGGCCCTTCAGAATCCCAAAGTTTAAGATCGAATTCGGCTTTTTGGTTTCAAAGGTTTCGTATCAATTAGGAGTGCATTCATTGTCGTCATTGTACCATAAAGTTTGTATTAAAATCGATGAATCATGCGTTGAAGCTGCGGCTGCCACTGCTGATGAATCTTGTGGCTGCTAGCCTCCAAAGAGGATAGATTTTTTGGCTGATCATTCATTCCTTTTCTTGATTAGAGAAGACAAAACGGGAACTATTTTGTTCATTGGTCAGATCATCTGTCATAATCCTCCTAGGCTCTCAAAGCCAAAATGAAGCTGCAATAATGAATTGAGCGTGACAACAATGTGATTATTTGATTTTTCTTTTTTCAACAACAATGTGTTTAGGTCTCACGATTTGAGTGTCAAAATAATGTAAATTTGAGAGTGTGACTCGTTAAATTTGTGAATGGTAATGTGACTTGCCTATAAGCAGGTTCGCCTTGCACTAAGCAAGGCACAAAGTTCCTGATATCGAGAAAAGGAGCCAAATAATCCGCTATCCAAAGGCCTTGATTTTTTTAATGAGCAGTGTACTTCATTGAATGATTCTTTTGATTCTATGAAAGAAGGCATGTTTTGTGCATTCATGTTTTGTAATGGTTTCCTTTTAAGTCACAAAGAACTTGGTAAACGATGCGATATAATGAAATGAATGAATGATAAAATAGTGAGAAAAGCCGCGGATTACAAACAAAAGGATATAAAAATCATTAAGCTTCACTCTTAGTAAAATGAAACAAATAGAAATGGTTTCAAGTGTTTCAAAGAGACGAGAGATTCTCGATGTGATTTGGGAAACTTTGGATCGCATGAAAACGACGGTCTCCAAGTCGATTACTGATCCGAAAGTCGTCATCTGGAATACCTTGAAACACGACTTTTCTAAAGCTGTTTCTCTCTGGATGAAAATACAAAACATTAAACGATTTAAGAATTGTGGATGGTAAATAAATAAACTCACCAGCATCAGTGACACCACTTAGTTTTGTTTTCAAACCCGTCTCACAGTGCTTGAAACGTACTAGAAAAGATTTATCCGACCACTTTCGTGTCTTCTCCAAAACCCACAATTTAATACCATAACCATTTTCCCCATGCTCTTCATGAACAAATGATAATCTTCCTTGATAAGGTATCAGCAACTGGGACCTAGTATCCCATGGTATCTCCCATGGTAAACTTATTGGCTGGAACTTTAAAGACTTGACATCAAAACTCATTATAACCCGATGATTCATATGATCAATACATGCTTTATAATACACAACCCCATCGATGCATCGCGCATCATTTCCAGCAAAAGGAAGTTGGTTATAGTTTGTTTTGATCTTTCTCCATGATAATTTAGCTGATCCCAATGTTAAAACCCGACACTCGTTGCCAAAATTATCACAAGGCATGCACACAACTTTGTGTTTACCCTCGATTGGATCATATCCTAAAAACACTGTTATATTTTTCCAGCTCATTTCGGGTTTAGGCAAAGTTAAAAACCGTCTCACGGTAGGGTTCCAAACTGTAGGTCTTGCTGATTTAGTAAAGCAGAGAAAGCCATGGACAGATTCCGTGAATGAGAAGCAAAAGGATTTAGGGCATTCTATCTGATAACTATCCAAAGGCTCATAAGAATATGACTTGGAATTCTGATGGTGTTGCCGAAACGTGAAGACAAACAACTTGTCTGTTTTTTTCAAGACGAGTAGAATACTTGGCTTTAGCAGTAAGGACCTAGTTGCAAACGACTTGATGAAATGTGAATCTGTGGTGATTGATGACCAGAGCTTCGATACGAAACGAGATCTCGCAATAGATTTTGCAGACAGCTTTAAGAGTATCTCTGAGGTTAGATCGATAGGTAAAGACAAAATTGAGTTTGAAACCTGTGTCGGTGAAGATTGTCTTCCGTTCTCTTCTTCTTGTTGCTCCATCTTTGCTCAAACCCTAACTTGATTTCCACGATTTCCGAGGGCCGGCTCTGAACAGGTTAAAGGTGCGCAAATGTTGAGTGCTTTGAGAAAGCTGCTGATAAATAAGAGAGGAGACACTAGGGTTGTGAAAAGGGATACAAGGATAAACATTACACGTGTAAGGTTTTATAACTATTGTAAAAATATAAACTATTAATTTCATTATCTTAGTTTTTCATTTATAGCTTCTTAATTATAAAAATACAAAAGAACTGAATTAATTTCTATACTCACGCAAAACGCATGTCAAGT